TAGCGTCTCTCTATCTGCTCGTTTCCCGTTCTCTGCCAGTCATCTCTTGTTTGAAGCATCTCTCTGGCCCAATCACTGAGAGACAACAGATTTTAATAATTACACTGACTGACTTACTTGTTTAGCTGCTCAGTCTCCCAACCTGCTCTCCACTGTTCCAGGCAGTCCAACCATGCCCTCTCCGCCACAGTTAGAAAGATAACTAACAATAGAAAGGAGAGGAAGGAAGAAAAGAAGAAAGAAAGAAAGAAAGAAAGGATGGAAGGAAGGAAGGAAGGAATGAAGGAAGGAAGGAAGGAAAGACTGCAGCATTGCAAAACTAGACTTAAACATGCTATATGCCACCAAGTCATCTATGAAGAGCATGGCATGGACCCTGTAGTGAAAACAAAGCTGTCCCACTCTTATTCAATGAAAGTAGGTCCCAGTTCCGAGCCACCTGCACAAAAAAAGAGTATGAGGTTGCTTTAAAGTCAGCAGACTGCTCCCTATGTGCATTGTATCATAATTGCAGCTCTGATAAGGCAGAAATAAAAACATCCCAACTGAACAAAACCAACAACACAACGACAAAATGAAACAGACAGAATCGTTCAGAGAGAAACAGGAATCGTTACACAAAACCCCAGGTTCCTCCAGTGGCAATTTGAACGAATTCCATTCTGTTGCTTTTTTATATGGCACCTGTTGTGTGGCTGGCGTCTTATCTAGTCTTTCGTGTAGTATCCATGACTCAGGGTTTGGCCGAGGTGGGGTTCTGATTGGGCCTCCAGTTGGGCAATGCTTCTGGGTGGGCTCAGGGGTCATAGCGTGGTGCTCTGGCCCTCCTCCTCGGACACCGAATCCCCCTCCGGAGAGCTGACCGCAGCAAGGGAGCTCCGACATGGGACCACCCTGAACTCGTCCAACAGGCTGTCCAGGTTGACGTTGATGGAGGGAATTTCCAAACTGAAGAAATCTGCTGTAGAATCATGGGAAATGGGAGCAATGGCCACGACAAGACAGATTCACAGTAAAACAGAGAGAAACGATGAAATGGCGACGATGAGGATGTTGAAAGACATAAAGAGAGAAAAGGCAAAAACAAAAAAGCTATTTCAGTTTTCAGGCCACTTGCTATAGAGGGAAAAGTCAGCGAAGGGGGTTAAATTGTGTGTTGCAGAAGGAGAGGGGCAGATCAGACTGTTTCCTGGCATTTTACACAGAGATTCTGTCACACTGAGCCTTTGGGGAGGAAGGAGAAATATTGGTTTCGTTTGCTATAAAGCCTTCAGTACTCACTACTCTTTCCTCATTGCAACAAGTACAAAGTAGTACATATATAGTTCACCACAATCAGTGTTGGGGAATGTTACAGTAAGTCAGTGCTACCGTTTACTTAAAGTAACGTGATACTTTAGTTGCTTCTCTCACAATCAGCAATGTCTATCTTCTTTAAAACTGTGGTTTCCTGCTTGGGTTGCAGATGTAGAAAGTTTGAGGTATTTTTACTGTGAAAAAGTATTTGTCCCTGTACATTAATAACCCACAAAAACAAACATAACATGAAACTATATGTTCATAGATGTCACATAAAAACTGCATTAGAGTGTTGCACAGGAAATACAATCATTGAAAACAATGCTACTATATTTGTAACATACATGTTCATAAATTTAAGTTGCCTTAAAGTAGACAAACAGTCTACTTGTCTAGGGGCATTTTGAGGCAAAGTTGTAACTTGTTACATGTTACTTTAACATACTGTATGATGTTACCAGTTACATGTAATTACGCAACAAACATTTTTTTTTTTCAATATGTCTAATAGATGTTTAAACATGCAGTAGCCTTCTTGGCTAAAACAAGGCTAAATTTAGGCTGTCAGTGAAAAATGTAATAGATGTCTAAAGACCATAACTAGACTAGTCATTAAATAAACAGAAATGAATGACTACACATATAGGCCACATTTACACTGCATTGTTCAAGTGACTCAATTCCGATTTTGTTCTCCCATATGGCACAGATCGGATGTGGCCCATGTACATGTTAGAAGGAACAAATCACATGGATTCCGATTTACTCAAATCCGATTCAGGCCTTGTTCAAATGTGGACATTTATCCGATATGAATCGGATTAGTGTTCTCGTGTCTGCAGTGTAAGCAGGTAGATCGGATTTTCACCTGTCAATGCGAGTCACGCGTTATTAAAAACCGTAGCGAATGACGTCAAGTCTGACGCTTTCATTTCAGAACAGACTTCAGCAGAGTCCCAAACCTTAAATATCATACAGGAGGACTTAAAAAAGCTTTCATATTGTCATATAGCACAGGTATTTAAGTATGTTAACGAGAGCGAGAGTGCGCAATGTCTGCCACGTAACCAATATAAACTAATATAAAACTAGTGCATACATCACGTGCATTAATCACGCCATGGACATTACATTAAGATGCCTAAAGATTTAAAAAAGCCTATATATCAAAATGAGATGGACAAATGAAAACCGTCCAGTCATAAACTATGGTAAAACAGCTTGTCAAAAGCTTTGAACAGATTACATGCATGAATAGAAAAAAATTTAATTTATTAAATTTAATTATCAGCTGTTAGTCAGCGCCCACTCTTTATTTTTTCCTGGTCATTGCTCCTTTGCCGTGTGCAGTGTAAATGCAGACGATCGGATATGAGACACTTTTAAAAGATGATGTAAGCAGGTCATCAAAAATTCGGATGCAGTCACAAAATCAGAATGTCACATCTGTTGCAGTGCCCTAGTTTGGACATTTGAGGGCACTAGTTTGTTTTGTAGTTTCACTTCATTTCCCATAATCCTGTGTATTACCGATTGTTATGTTACAGCTGTTTCGTGTTTGTTAATTTAGTCCTGTCTTTATAAACCCTCTTGTACTATGTTTTAATGGCTTGTTAGTTCCTCACGTCTGGTATGTTTGTCTGGTTATCTAGTTTTTTTGTATTACGATTATTCTTGGATTCCTGTTTGTGTTCATTTTTGTTAGCACTTGTTAGCACTCCTACCCTGTCCTTGTATTTACCCGTTTTTGGATTTTTGCCAGTTCCTTCATCTGGTCGTCTAGTTTTTTGTATCTTGCTTATAGTTCTGTGCAAGATTTGGAAGCCTTTGTCTCTTGGAAATCTGTCTTTTTGGATACCTTTGTCTTTTTGTTAATAAATTGCTGCACTTGGATTTTAAGGTAAATACAAGGACAGGGTAGGAGTGCTAATAAGTGCTAAAAAAAATGAACACAAACAGGAATCCAAGAATAATCGTAATGCAAAAAACTAGATAACCAGACAACCATACCAGACGTGAGGAACTAACAAAATCCTAAGGCCACTAAAACGGAGGACAAGAGGGTTTATAAAGACAGGACTAAATTAACTAACACGAAACAGCTGTAACATAACAATCAGTAATACACAGGATTATGGGAAATGAAGTGAAACTACAAAACAAACTAGTGCCCTCAAATGTCCAAACTAGGGCACTGCAACAGATGTTACACAGAATTGACCATTAAGATCTGCAGTGTAAATGCAGCCATAAAGTCTGTCGGTAACACTTTATATTAACTACACATTATAAACCATTTATTAAGCATTAGCAAATAGTGTATTCATTATCCGTTAAGCATTAACTCTACATTAATAAACGTTAGTAAGCAGTTTATAACTGCAGCTACAAATGCTCTATTCTTGACTTATAACCACATTTAAAATGTGCTTAATAGTTGTATTTTCATACTTAGTAAATGATTTATTTTTAATTACTAAATTAAGTATCGCATTATTTACAAACCAGTTGTATTTAAAAGTAGTTGAGGGTTTTTAGGATCATTCAGAATGAGTTAGTAAATAATTAATAAACTATTGAAATTAACGTTTAATGTCTTATTATTCAGGCATATATTAATGGTTACTATGTATGTTAATAAATGCTTTATTAACTCAACTTCACCTAGTTTTGTGACCTAATCTAAAGTAAGGACTATTCATGCTTTATAAATCCTTTATAAATGGCAATAAAAGGCTTAGTTAAATTCTAAACAGGAAAAATGACATTATTCATTCTTATTGAATTAAAGATACACAAATAAAACTGTGCTTCAAATAAAAAATAAATCTTTGCAATCTGATCTAAAATAAAATCACTGTAGAGTTTAAGCATTACATTTAATTACATTGTTTAATTATTATATTATTGTTTTATCCAGTTTTGTTGTATTTTGACACTACTGTTATTCAGCAATGTTTAAACTTTACAGTAATTTTACATTTTAGAAAATATTGCAAAGATTATAGTTCATTTGATTCTGAGCCTTTATTTGTCATTTATAAGGGATTTATAAAGCATAAATAGTCCTCACTTTAGATCAGGTCACAAAACTGCATGAAGTTGAGTTAATAATGCATTTATTAACATATTAGTTGGCTATTAGTATATGCCTAAATAATAAGACATATAAACGTTGATTTCAATAGTTTATTAATCATTTACTAACTCATTTTGAATGATCCTAAAAACCATCAACTACTCCTAAATACAACTGGTTTGTAAATAATGCGATACTTAATTTAGTAATGAAAAATTGATCATTTACTAAGTATAAAAAAACAATTATTAAGCACATTTTAAATGTTGTTATAAGTCAAGAATAGAGCATTTATAGCTGCAGTTATAAACTGCTTACTAACGTTTATTAATGTAGAGTTAGTGCTTAACGGATGAATTCACTAGATGCTAATGCTTAATAAATGATTTATAGTGTGTAGTTATTATAAAGTGTTACCAGTCTGTCTAATCTATTTGATGAGTAGTCTAGTTTCGACCTATTCCTAAATGTCTATTAGATTTTCACCGACAGCTCAAGTTTAGCCTTGTTTTAGCCAAGATGACTATGTTTAGATTGCTGTTGGATGTCTATTAAATAGAAAATTGTTTGCTGGGTCGTTTGAAACATTATATTAAATAAATAATATAAAGTAACACGTTACTTTACTTGATACTTGACAAGTAGTTTTATTATGCGTTTCTTGTAACACGTTACTTGTAACTCACAATATTGTACTCGTAAATGCCAGTTTATACTTCTGCATTGAGCCCATTTGGTCCCATACCCTTCCTTCACCATACCCCAGACATGAACTCTGTCATGCAGAACGAATGTAACTATACGTTGCAACAATGCTTATCGCAAGATCTTTGACTATGAGTATGGGTGGGTACGAGAGCCATAGGAGTGATAGCGAGGCTGGTTTAAAAAATAATGAATCCTGCAGATGGACTTTTGTTTAGGGGTTATTTTATAAATAAAGTTGTTGAACGTTCAACGGTTCCTCCCCATTTTTTCTCTGAATAAATGTGAGTTTAACCGCTACAGTAGCATTGAACCAAACAAGCAATAAAGAAACTCGAAACAGTGAAACATAAAAACCCCACTGCATACAAAAATTTCAGAAGTGTTCTTCTTCTACAGAGCAGCACAGACAGAATGCAGAAGTATAAATGTTTGCAATGCTATGTGCAAGATGGGGTACACTGTTACCTCAATGCAGAAGTATAAATCCAGCTTAAGGCATACTACTTGTAACACGTTGCCCCAACACTGACCACAATGACCGAATTAACACATAGACAACAAGACGGGTGCAAATTGAAGATGTTGTAACATTAAAAACCTTGTCAGTGGACTTTGTGGATTGGTGGACTGTATCTGATTGTGATGACCTCCCCTTTGTAAGAATGAGATGGACGCAGATGAAACAGTCACAGCTGTGAGGTGCAGAAAGTTTCACCATTTCCCTGTGATCAACCCGACTCAAAGAGAGTTTCGTTGGGGTTTACCTGGGACCACCCAATGGGGATATTGGTAAAGGGAATGGATCACAATGTGAGGTCAGGGCCGGAGGCTTTGAGATGAACATCATAAGCGACAACGCTGGTAAATATGTAATGTTACTGGGGAAAATAAGGCCATAAGCCATGCACAGACCAGTCTCACACCATGCACAGACTACACTGACAGAATGAAGAAGCCAAGGACAGCCCCGCGTTTGGAGGAGAATGACAGAGCTGGAGAAGGGAGTGTGTTACGATATGAGACAGAGCAAGGCTACGGTAGGCCCCGGATTCAGCCACAGCACCAGGCCAGACGGTGTGAGATGAGGCTATGGCACGGGCACAGCAGGTTCTGGCTTACCCTAAATGTCCCCCTCACACTCAGCCCACACTCAGTCCCTGGCCTCACACAGCTGCAAGGTGCACAACGATGACAGGGGATAAAAGAGTCATACATCAATCAGTGCTCAGGAGAATGACTGACAGACATGCCTCAAATGAGAGAACATACAATCAGTGCCATAAAGCGTGCCACTAAAATGATACAAAGACCACAGGACCTAACTCTTGAGAAACTTACACTGAAGCTGACACAATAACTAGGGCTCATTCTGAACTTTGAGGGTGAAGTGTGCAATTTTTGGCAGGATCATTTACTTTAGTTTGCGTTAGTGTCGCATTGAGTAAAGTGTATTAAATTAATATCACGCAATAAAGTTTGAAATATAGTGTAGCCAACATTAGAGTTTAGTTTTGTGTTGCTTAGGTGCAGTTTCATGTTAAGTAGTTACAATGAATAAAATTGGCATGCACTTTTATTGGTAATGTGCCATTTGGGTTGGGGGGTCCCTCCAAAGATTTTTTATAGAGTATCCCCTTTCCAAGGGAAAGTCTATACACACCACTGCTCGTCTAGTTTTGGCAACATATAGTGTAACATTGAATTCAACTTGAGAATCAAACAGCTTTGTTTTAGAATAGGCGGATAAATGGAAATTTATTGAATGGGCTGGTTGGGAAGTCTTGTCCAAGAAGACGCAAGACTTCATCTCGTAGGTAAGGGTGGAAGCTTTAGAAAACCCACCCCCGATGCAGGTTGCGGAAGAGGTAAGGGATTTAAGAGGTATGGTATGAGTTTAGAGGGAAATGGGTGGGAGGGAGCAAGAATTTAGATGTCGAGACATGAGCGAGAGTTAAATAGTTTAGAGACATGGAGTTCTATTGAAATAGCTTGATTTCTTTTACAGTGGGGGATGTAATGCTACTTTCAAGCTTAAAAGTTGAATGTAATGCTGGTTAGCCAATTTGGAGTTGACAAAGTGCCTAACAAGCTTTCATGTTACTAATTTGGGTTTCATGTCATTCCGATTGTGTGGAATGAAAATCAAGTCAGTATGTTCACTGTCAAGGAAAAAGCCACAACCAATGCTTGTGAAACTTTGTTGCAAGTTGTTTGAGAGATGTGAGTAATAGTTATGAGGTTTGAGAAGAGAAGCATGGAATGAATATTAAATGGGCTGGTTTGGGGATGCAGGTTGCGGAAGAGAAAAGGAATTTTAAAAGGTATAGGTGGGTGGGTGGGCGATTGTAGAGAATTAATGGATGAGTTAAAAGAGAAATGAGTGATTGGGCACAAGAATCTAAATGTCGAGACATGAGCGTGAGTTAAATGGTTTAGGAAGGGTTAACTTCCCTTAAATAATAGATGAGGAAAGTTGATTGGTTTAGGCTTGGCCACGCTACTAAACTTTTGTTAATTAATAAACTCCATTTATTTATTTTCAACAATTGTTTGCCACTTTTATGGGTTTTCTATGCAGTTTGACTAAACTAAAGAGAGTAAACTCAGTGACTGTTGTGTTTTGGCTCAAATAAAGTCATAGACTTGATGCAATACTACCTGCTTGTTTTTGCAGAAAGGTTGGTGGAAAACCATTATGGAAACATTTCCACCGGTGGTGCTAAAATTACACACTTCACATTCTAGTCAAAAATTCACAGCACCTTCCTGGACTTACAATGTATTCCCTTTGTTTTCTATATTTTGTTGTACAGCTAAAATATATACCCCTTGGGATTCAGAAAATAATTATCATACAGTATTATACATCTCAAAGGCAATCTATGGGCTCCCCCTATTTAATAAATCACATATCATGGGGTATCTGGCTCCTTAAAGTCCATCGCCTGCGTAGGACGGAGAGACAGACAGTTTGAGAGAGGGACGCTGGACTCCCAATCGTGATGGTGCCACTGAGGCATGTTTACCTGTGGACATGCTCTCTCCGGGGGATAATCCGTCAAGTAGACCCTGCTCCAGGGGCTGGGGGACCGTAGGGGGCACGGTGGGCGGCTGGGGAGGGGGCAGACTGGGTCTCTGCCTGGGCTTTGGGTTGGGCCGGGACTTTGTGAGCGTACCAGTCAGAGAAGTTGGTGGTGAGGACAGTGTATGGGGTCCCCCTAATGGGGTCTGGCCAGGGGAAGAGGTGGGCGCATGTCCAGGGGGACAGCCCAAACCGTAAGGGGAGGGGGTACTTGGGGGAGTGGGGGACAGGCTAACCGGAGACGGCTGACCTGTGGATTGGTCTGACATCCCCCCCGACTGGCCGTAGGGAACCTTGGGCGGCACAGGGGCCAATTTCTTAGACACTGCAGGGAGAGAGAGGAAACAAAATCAAAGTTGCATCCAAGTAACTTTAATTCTAAACAACTCTGTTTACACCTTGTTCTAACATTCATTGCAGGTGATCGAAACACAAAAAAGGTAGATGTGTTTTGGGTTTTTTATTTAATAAATTTTTTTCAGAAGTGATTCTAAAGCTCTGTTTCCAACTGGTATTAATAATGAGTCTCATTTTTGATTGTGACTAATTGTGACTTCACAGACTAAATCACTTGCTTAGAATGAATGAATCCAAGTTACACTGCCAACCAGGGGAACATTTCCAAAAACCACAGTTAGCCAACTGAGGTCACAAGTTCTGTCGTTTCAAACTTAGATCATGGATTTAATGTTTCCCAAATCTGACGCTTCAACAAACATTCGCAAACTGCGTCGCAAACTTGTACACTTGCAACTACACCTCTGGAGCTGTAGTTAGAAACATAGTTCCTGGCTGTATTCTATTCCCGGTTATCTCCCCAATGCCCTACTCGTTTAGAACATTCTAACATTCAAACTTGAAATTATATTTAAAAAAGCATTAAAGTCATCACTCTTAGGTGTAATTTACTTTTATAGTAGTTTTACAGTTCAGTTTTAGTTTCAGTTTTCTTTATGTTTACAATTGCGCTCCCTTCGCATGCCGTTGAAAACATTAATGTCATTTTGAAGACAGCTGAGCAAAATTTGTGTGTATATATATATATATATATATATATATATATATATATATATATATATATATATATATATATATATATATATAGCTAGTATATTATTTACAGTACAGTAATTGCTCCAAAGCTTGCGAAAACAAAAGCATAGCATTTGTTTATGCTTTTATTTTATAGTGGAGTAATTATTAAGAAATGTTGCCTACAGTATAAAACATGGATCTGTTGGTTAGAACATTTCAACATTGCTTTACATGTGTCAAATTGTAAAAGTAGACTTTAAAAAAACCTTTCTTATTAATAATAATCAACATTACCATCATCATTATTACTATTATTATTAAAGTAGGAATTACTTTTTCTAATAAATATTAAATATTACATTTTATTTTTTAATAAATAGCCTCCTAATTTATTTAATATATAATTTATATATGATATTAGAATACTTGTTTTAAGTGATTTTTTAAGTGATTTTATGTTTTAGAATATAATACTGTATGTAATGTTCTCAATAATATTTGTAAGGAAACATTGGCCCTATATGTGCCATTTACATATATTTCAATGAATATAGAAAGCAAGTGCATGTTTTTACTTAAGCTAATAATAGATTTTTCTAAATTTGAGTGTATGTAAAACAATATAATTTGCACAAATAAATTATGGTTTCTTCTCCACAAAGAAGTAGTTACTTCCCTCTATTTAGAACATCATTATGGGTGTTTTACGGTATGATTTTATCTTGCCCCACTCAAAATTGTTAACATTTTGCTAAAAAAAATAATAATTTTCATTGTCAAGTAAATGTATCTCGTTTTAAAGAGAACCCTGACTATCAAGACATGTATGTCTTAATATAATGTAAATGATGCCTCTTAATGAAATTTGTAAAAACAAAAATCATTATTATTATTATTATTTAAATCAATATGATTTTATACATATTTTGTACTATTAGAGCTGCAATTATTTTACTTTCCATTGAAAACATGTTTGAACCATCAATTTAACATAACTGGCAATATACAATACTGATAGAATGCCACATTGTGCAGTTTTGGTTGCAATTTCCAGAAGAACAAAACCCAAAAGAGATTAATCTTCAGTGGTTTTCTACTGATAAGAAGAGAGAAAAGGATAAGAAGATGCCTAATGGCATTAGGGCTTTTAGTAAAGCTCTGCTACTAAAAGAGCACACAGGTGGAGATGGATATAAGCGGTCACTTAAACAGTACCATTAGTGTTTCTACACAAAGAGTTTAAACGCGCTTGGATATTGACTGCAATTTACACTGAGAGATGGCAGGACGTAAACATGCCAATGCATTTTAGTCACTGAAGGAGAAAGTTGTTATTGTCTAGCGTTTCCTTTCTTAGTCTTAGTGAAGACCAACATCTCTTTTATTGAAAATGATTGAAAATAAACCAAAACAAACATTGAGTATGTTTACATGGACACCAATAATTCGATTTTAATGCGATTAAGACAATACTCTGATTAAGAGTCTACCATGTAAACAGCAATTTTTTATTCATTTAATCAGATTAAGGTCATAATCTAACTAAAGAAAAATCGAATTAAGATGTGGGGAGTATGCCGACTTTAGTCGCATTATTGAAGTGTAGTACAGACATGTAAACACCTAAATCGAAATATTACCACCATGTAGGGCTTTTCACCGTGTTTTGCGACAGAATAGTCCACACACACAAACACGTCTGTTTGATACTCTTTGCACCTACCGAGTGCAGACCACAGACACCTGCATCGTGAAATGCAGAGTTTTTTTTTTTTTCTTTCATTCAGCATGCAGTATAAACTTCCACTAAAACAACACTCTTCCTGCTGTTCATAATTGCATCCAATATCTCGTTTGTCACGGGGGAATGCATGAAATGTTCCTGAATGAAAGTGAAAGTGCCAAACTGCAATTAAAGTCGACACATTAAAAATAAAGAAAATGGAGAAAATGCGGATAGTATGGTTATGCATTGACATTAATCGAATTATGTGTTATAACATGTAAAACAATATCATAAAAGGAACATTCAAAAAGCAACTCATGTAAACACTTTAATCTTATTATTGTCTTAATGAGATTAAAGCAAATAATTTGATTGCCGATGTCCATGTAAACAGTCACTGTGGCATAGTCCCAGTATTTTACTTTCCGAGTTGTGTCAAAGTAGCTGATTGTAGCACCAGTGGCTCACCGAGCACATCCATCTGGCGTCACACCATGGACCTAAAATAATGGCAGTACTTATAGTCTAAAATAAAAGTGGACTTCATATTTCATTAAAATGCCAATGATAATTAGAAAATTGTGACATTCTTTAATCACCTTCATGTCGTTCCAAATCCCTGAGACCTTTGTTCCACTTTGGAACACAGCTTAAAATATATTAGATGAAATCTGAGAGCTCCTTGGTCCTGCATTGACAGCAATGGTTTATATATGTGGAGTCGTAATTTCCACTGGGGAAAAAATCCTGTTTGTGCCTCCCCATTTTTTCACAACTGTGCTTTGACATGGGCACAGAGAAATGTTACTGACATATATACACAGATGTACGGTTGAAGACAGAATTATTAGCCCCCCTAAATTATTAGGCTCCCTGTTTATTTATTTCCATTTTTCCATTTCCATTTTATTTCCGAGAGCAGATTTTTTCAACACATTCCTAAACATAATAGTTTTCATAACTCATCTTTAATAACCGATTTATATTATAATTGCCATGATCACGGTAAATTATATTTTATTCTAATTGTTTTTCATTGACTTCTATACAGTTAAAAAAAGATATTTAAAGGCGTAACTAGATTAATTAGGTTAACTGAGCAGGTGATGGTTTCATCTGTAGACTATCGAAAAAAAATATAGCTTAAAAGGGCTAATAATTTTAAAATGGCTTTTAAAAATTTAAAAACTGCCTTTTTTCTAGCCAAAATAAAGCAAATAAGACTTTTTCCAGAAAAAAAAAAATTATCAGACATACTGTGAAATTTCCTAGCTGTTAAACATCATTTGGGAAATATTTAAAAAAAAAAAAAAGAAAAAAATTCAAAGGGGGGCTAATAATTATGACTTCAACTGTGTTAAACTGTGTTCAAATGTATTAATGTGTGAATATGCATTCATTATCTGTGCATGCATGCTCCAAAAATAACTGAAAGTTACATAAGTTCTGCAACAGATGACTTTAATGTCAACTTGTATGATGAGATGGTGGATATGCAGCTCAGGTCAGAATAATTATTTTTTCTCTGAGGCAGAATCTGCTGATGTTGGTGTAACTTTTATGAGTTTGTGCTGCACAGAAATTAGCATAGCGCTCTTTTTACTAACATTAAAAGGGCGTTAAAAACTGAATTGTTAAAGGTTTACAGACGTTTTTTGAGGCGTTTGCAATTAGAACGGCGTGATTAGTGGTCTTTGAAATGATATTAGCGCAGTTTAATGCAGCGTTTTGTTTATAAATGTGATTGATCAATCGTGTAATTATGAGCTCTTCGGCTTGACATAGAGTTCTGCTACAGGAATCGTGCGAATTGTGTAGCACAAATCAGAGCGTGAGAGATTTGCAGTTTAACTGGCAAATCTGAGAGGTTGTGAGTGCCGACTTGTGGTTGTACAGCAAAAAATGCAATTAAATTTGCCGTACACATGTGACGTGTCTATCATTTTCTATTTGTGAATGACATTTTACGAATACACAACTATTGATCTGCAACTTCGAATTTAAAGCACAGGTGTTTGGATTATTGTCTCTGTGTGCAAATTGAGAGGTTCAGCTGTTCACATCAGAGCTGTGTGTGTACAATTCAACAAATATTATTATCACAAGTTCTCACATTAACATTTGCAGGCTCTCGAGTTTTGCAACTGATTCAGACACAGGTTATCTTCACTCACTGACGAGGGCTTTTGTGTGTCACACGCACAGCTGATGTGATGTGGGCGCGTGCTTAAAAGCTCCCGTGTCCCATTTCCTTGCGTGAAGCAACTGTGCCTGAAAACGCCACAGTCAGTTGCCGACTTTCACTTTAACCATTGTTTTAACAGATTGTTAATGGGCCTAATGTTAACCATGTGTGCACGTGTTCTTTTGCTTACAGTTACTTTTATTAATATGGTTTACAATAACATTGCTTTAATATGAGATTAACTCCATTTATTTATAGTTAACTGGTGATCATGGGAACTTGAGCCAGGACAGACAAGAGTTAATAGTTTTAGATACATGAGATTTTTTTATTGAATAAAAATGTATATTTTGCTGATGTTTGCACATTATTTTACATTTTTGGCAAGGAAATAATTAGTTTGGTGTGGCCACAGTGAAAATTGGTAAATCCTATAGTGTTGAGCCCTAAAAAGTCATGTGAAATAAAACTAATTGCAAGATGAGCAATGATCACAATTAAAACATAAAAATGGCATGTGGACATAGCACTTAATTTAAATCAAGTAATTTCAGGATGCCAAGGTCAAATTTATGCATATAAAATATATTCCTAACAACAAAAATGTGGTTAGTGAAAATGTCATGTGGCTAGTAACGTAAAAAAATAAATAAAAAATACTAGCCACAGTGGCTGGTAACCAAAAAAATACTGTCAAGCCCCGGTCACAGTATGTCACGACACAGTGTGAGCAATATACTGACACTGAGTTAAAAAAAAAAAAAAAAAAGTAAAGTATTCTTATAGTTAGTATTCCAGGTGAATAATTGAAGGCATGTGGTCTGTTCTGTAGATGTTTTTGGTAGCTTTCTGAACAAGTCTGGACCATTGCTATCTATGGAAGATGAGAGAGCACTCGGATTTAATATAAAACCTCTTCAAATATGTTCAGAAAATGAATGAATCTCTCAGGGGCTTGGAACGACATGAGGGTGGTTGATTAATGACACAATGTTAATTTTTGGGTAAACTAACCCTATTAAGTCATACAAGTCTTGATTTCTGTTTACCTTATCTATCTATCTATCTATCTATCTATCTATCTATCTATCTATCTATCTATCTATCTATCTATCTATCTATCTATTTATCTATCTATCTATCTATCTATCTATCTATCTATCTATCTATCTATCTATCTATCTATCTATCTATCTATCTATCTATCTATCTATCTATTTTTCTATCTATCTATCTATCTATCTATCTATCTATCTATCTATCTATCTATCTATCTATCTATCTATCTATCTATCTATCTATCTATCTATCTATCTATCTATCTATCTATCTATCTATCTATCTATCTATCTATCTATCTATCTATCTATCTATCTATCTATCTATCTATCTATCTATCTATCTATCTATCTATCTATCTATCTATCTATCTATCTATCTATCTATCTATCTATCTATCTATCTATCTATCTATCTATCTATCTATCTATCTATCTATCTATCTATCTATCTATCTATCTATCTATCTATCTATCTATCTATCTATCTATCTATTTTTCTATCTATCTATCTATCTATCTATCTATCTATCTATCTATCTATCTATCTATCTATCTATCTATCTATCTATCTATCTATCTATCTATCTATCTATCTATTTTTCTGTCTATCTATCTATCTATCTATCTGTCTATCTATCTATCTATCTATCTATCTATCTATCTATCTATCTATCTATCTATCTATCTATCTATCTATCTATCTATCTATCTATCTATCTATCTATCTATCTATCTATCTATCTATCTATCTATCCATCCATCCATCCATCCATCCATCCATCCATCCATCCATCCATCCATCCATCCATTAGTATTTTCTGATATTTGTACTATGTTTTTCTTTTTACCGTGAACTAACCTTTATTAGTTATCAAAATGTAAAACTGATATTTCAAGGTACATTTTTAGGCAGGTGCCTATTTTGGGTACTATGGTTTTACCAGCATGTTTCCTATCAGTCTGATCACCTGAGATGTATGTTATAGCAGGTTTACAAAGGTATTCAACAGTGTGTGGTGGGACGAACCTTTGCGTAAGGTGTGTGGGCTGTGCTCGGCCGAGTGTGGAGACTGGCTGTTGCTCTGCTGGCCGCCGACAGGGGGCACTGTTGATCCTGACGCCTGCACAGCCTTGTGGCCAATCACAGGAGAGAGTTCCTTACTCTTCAGAGTACTGGAGAGAGAGAGACAAACATGACTGCCTGCCTGCCACCACATCATTAATCACTAACAGTGTAGGAAGGACCCCTCTGTCCCCCTCTATCACAATTCAAAAGAGATTCAACAATGTGCTGCTGGTTTTGATGTTTCTAAATAGACTTTAAGGTGAGGTTATTCATGAAGCTGATGCTGGAATTTAACCATTTGTGTCACTGGTGCTGTTAGTTAAGCAGATGAGCTTAAATATGTTGAAGAAAAATACTACAGAATATTACTATCGCTAAATTCTAAGATTACATGGTCATCTTTAATATCCACAATCCAGAAAAATAATAATTAATCAGAAAAAATACTAGGTATAGGAATCTTTTCTATTATTCTATTCTAAATCTAGAATATTCTAATATCTAGAAGTATTCTAAAATCTATCTATTCAATCTATTTTCTACAGTATTCTAAAATTATTCTGGCCGCACAACTAATTTTGACCCTGGACCACACAAGTCTTGTGTTGCACACATTTTTGTAAATAGTATAAGTCAATTTTAGTATATACATATTTTTAAATGTACATTTTTATGCCAAAAACATTTTTTAGCCCATTTTTATTTATTTACTTATTTTATTACTGACAAAAACCACTAGTAAATTGAGTAAAAATCATGTTCCATAATGATATTTAGGGAATTTCCTACAGTAGATATATCAAAGCATATGTTTTATCAGTCATTTGCATTGCTAAGAACACAGTTTGGATGCTTTCAAAGACGATTTTCTAAACTATAGTTGTATCTCAGCCGAATATTGTCCTATCATAACAAATACATAAATAAATAGAAAGCTTGTTTATTTTGCAGACAATGTGTAAATCTCAATTTCAAGGATCCAGAGTCACATATAAAAACTCATTCATTCATTCATTCATTCATTCATTCATTCATTCATTCATTCATTTACTTTTCAGCTTAGTCCCTTTATTAATCTGTGGTCGCCACAGCAGAATGAACCGCCAACTTATCCAGCACATGCTTTACGTAGCGGGTGCCCTTCCAGTTGCAACCCATTACTGGGAAACATCTATACACTCTTATTCACACACATACACTACGGACAATTTAGCTTATCCAATTCACCTAAACCACATGTCTTTGGACTTGTGGGGGAAACCAAAGCACCTGGAGGAAACCCATGCACACACAGTGAGAACATGCAAACTCCACATAGAAATGCCAACTATACATGGTCTTATTAGCCCTCAAGGCTTGTGCTACAGAGTTGCAACTCTATTTTTAACCTCTCTCTTAGTCAATGCTCAAACTTGCTTCAAAATGACTGAATAATTACAGGCCAATAGCACTCACTCCAATCAATGCCAAATGTTAAGAGAGAGTTGTGCTACCCCTCAATCGAAGCAGTATACCACACACCCTGCAGTATGTATACCGGACCAATTGGTCCACCTCAGATGCTATTGCTGCTGCACTTTATACTTCTCTCTTCCATCTGGATAAGGACAGATAAGATAAGGACATCTACAGTTGAAGTTAGAATTATTAGCCCCCATTTTTTTTTTATTTTTAAAAATATTTCCCAAATTATGTTTGACAGGGCAAAAAAATAAAATAAATAAAATAAAATAAATAAATCATGGAATGTCTGATAATATTTGTTCTTCTGGAGATAGTCCTATTTGTTTTGTTTCGGCTAGAATGAAAGCAGTTTTTTATTTATTTTTTAACACATATTATCGACAAAATTACTAGCCCCTTTAAGCTATATTTGTTTTTGACTAACTACAGAACCAAATAGGGTAATACAATGGCTCGCCCAATTACCCCAACCTGCCTAGTAACCCTAATTAACCTGGTTAAGCATTTAAATGTCACTTTAAGCTGTATAGAAGTGTCTTGAATAATATCTAGTCAAATATTATTTACTGTCATCATGGTAAAGATAAAATACATCAGTTATTATAGATGAATTATTAAAACTATTGTGTTTAGAAATGTGTCGAAGAAATCTTTTCTCTGTTAAGCTGAAATTAGGGAAAAAATAAACAGGTGGACTAATAATTCAGGGGGGCTAATAATTCTGACTTCAACTGTATATCAGGATGCTCTTTATACCGTTCCGCCTTCAACACGATTATCTCTCATAAACTCACTCACAAGCTGTCTAAACTCGGATTACACTCCACACTCTGTCTGGCTCTTAGATTTGTCAGGATTGAACAATTACACACAGGATTGGAAATAAAAGCTCAAGCACCATCCACCCCAACATCAACACCCCACAAGGGTGTGTTTTGAGCTGCATCCCCTTCACTTTATTCACACATGACTGTGTTGCATCCCACAAGAACAACGTATCACTGGACGTATCACAGGGGGAAATGAAGCAGCTCACAGGAGGGAGGTGGCCAGTCTACTGACAGAGTGTGAGCACAACAACCTCACCTTCAACACGGACAAGACTAAGGAGATGATAGTGGACATGAGAAAGGAGAGGGGAACTCAACCGCCACTGATTATTCGTGAACTTGAAGTGGAAGGAGTGAGCAGTTTTAAATAGCTTGGGGTCCACATCAGAGGACCTCACCTGGACACCACCCAGCTGGTTAAGTAAGTACAACAGCGGCTGTACTTCTTAAGGAAGCTGAGGGAACTAGATCTGTCTTCTACAGCTGTGTGATTGAGAGCATCCTGACCAGCTGTATTACTGTGTGGTATGACAACGCTACTGTAAAGACCACAAACGTCTGCATAGAGTGGGGAGGACTGTAGAGAAGATCATCAGGACCCTACTGCCTTTCTCTGCAGACTATCTACCATCACAGAGTCTACAAGAGAGCTGCTCTTATCCTGAAAGACCCCACGCACCCACAACATAGAATAATCCCACTCCTACCCTCAGGGCGGAGGGATAGGAATGTGAGATGCAGGACGGCCAGACTCAAAAACTCTTTTTTTTCCCCGTCAGCTATCAGATTTTTAAACAGATAGCCAGTGGACATAAACAGTTTCTTTTTCTGCTCAGTAACACACAATATTCTTCATCCCAGTTTGCACTATTAATGCATACAATGGCACTCAATCTGCTCCGACCATTATACTGTTGTTTGCACTAGGCACATTTTGCATAATAAGCTCAATTTTAAACTACTACTATAAATTGTTTACATCTACTTACATTACTCCACAATCAGTATTATATATTAATTACATTCATAGATATTTATATTTCTTTTTTCTTTTTAGCTTAGTCCTTTTTTTAATTTGGGGTCGCCACAGCGGAATGAACCGCCAATTTATCCAGTATTTGTTTTACGCAGCAGATGCCCTTCCAACTAAAACCCATCTCTGGGAAACATCCATACACAATCAATTACACACATGCTGGCAGCTTGCTCTCTGCAACTCTCACATGGTCGCCCACTGAAGCTAAGCAGGGTTGCGCCCGGTCAGTACCTGGATGGGAGACCACAAGGGAAAGCTAGGTTGCTGCTGGAAGTGGTGTTAGTGAGGCCAGCAGGACCGCCCAACCTGCGTCTGTGTGGGTCCTAATGCCCCAGTATAGTGACGGGAACGCTATACAGCTCAGTGAGTGCCGTATTTCGGATGAGACGTTAAATCGAGGTCCCGACTCTCTGTGGTTGTTAAAAATCCAAGGATGTCCTTCGAAAAAGAGTATGGGTTTAACCCCTGCATCCTGGCCAAATCTGCCCACTGTTTATCATGGCCTAACCATCCCCATATTCCAATTGGCTTCATTTCTGTCTCCTCTCCACTAATCAGCTGGTGTGTGGTCTGGCCAAAATGGCTGCCGTCACGTCATCCAGGTGGATGCTGCACACTGGTGGTGGATGAGATGATTCCCCCCATTAAGTAAAGCGCTTTGAGTGCCCAGAAAAGCGCTATATAAATGTAAGGAATTATTATTATTACATACACTATACGGACAATTTACCAAGAATCTCCAACTTGCCTCAACAAACCTACATGGATGTTTCTAGAATGCCTCAAGTTGCGGTCACACTAGAGTTTGTGCATGCAAAACTCTGTCGTACGGCGCTGCGAAAAGAGAAGAGATAAAACATTATCTTTATAATTAAGTCAACTTTTGCAGTTCAATGCATTGTAAAGTTCGAACTTGGTAAACTCTGACTGGTGAAATTGCATCACTTGAGTGCGTAAGACCAATAAAGAATCAAAACATGACCTCTCTGGACAGAAATTTAAAATATGGAGCAATCGCTTGCTTTTTTACATGTCTAATTATCTTGTTTATTTCGTCCCTTTTCGCAGCGCTGTACTACAGAATTTCCTAAAATGTCATGTTTTGATTCTCGATTGGTCTCATGCAGTCACGTGATGCGATTTCGCAGGTCAGTATTCACCAAGCTTAAACTTTCCAATGCAGCAAACTGCGAAACTTGATGCACTGCCTTGCGTTTCCGGTATGACGCATTTGCGTGTGTATGAATGGAGGTCTATAGGGAGAAAAGCGGAGTGTGACCGCAGCTTAAGGGCTTGACTAGCTAGCCCAGGTGTGTCTGATTGTGGTTGGAACTAAATTTTGCAGCCCTCCTGGACTGAGTTTGGGCCACCCTCTTCAAGAAAAGGGTGAAGGTAACATTTTAAAAGGTGACCTAAAATCCCAGAAATATATATCTTTGATTTATTTATTTTTTTAGAAAATCATTTTTTGCTTTTTTAATCAATAACCATCAGTTGACTTCATTGTGATACTTATTTCAGTAAACGATGACATCATGCTTTTCACGATGAGCTCAAAACGAATCAAACCATGTTTTCCCAATTCCTGTTCAACATGAAGGAGATTAAGAAAAAAAAAGATCACACCTAAAATCTGCTTGTGTGTGGGTGTGATTTTTTTTTTTTCTTCAGAGATATGAGAAGGTGAATTTACACCGAGTGTGTTTCTCATCTGCGTCAGCAGGAGGGGGATTGAGTGTCCTTGCCCAGCAAACACACACATACACACACACAGCAT